GGGCTGCAGGGGGACATCTGTTCCACCATGGTCTTCACCACACTTTGTGGGGAAATCTCTGCTGTGGTGCCTGGAGCACTTCCCCCCCCTCCTTCTTCCCTGACCTTGATGTCTACAGAGTTGTTTCTCTCACATCTTCTCATTCCTCTCCAGCTGCAAAGTCTGCAGCTTTTTTTTTCTCTTCCCCTTTTTTAATTCTGTTCTCACAGGCGTTACTGACGGGCTCGGCCTTGGCCAGCAGTGGGTCCTTCATGGAGCCAGTGGCACTGGCTGTGTCGGACACAGGGGAAACTTCTGGCAGCTTCTCACAGAAGCCACCCCTATGCGCCCCCCGCTACCAAAACCCAGCCACACAAACTCAATACATTTTCATGTATTTTACAGTGAGATTTTTGTTGAAGCAAGTGTAAAACAGAAGCTTCAGCTCCAGCTGAAGGACAGAAAGGCTTTTGATCTCTCCTTGCCTGAACAGGCATCGAGTACTGGCAAAGTCTTGTAAAGAGTGTTTTTAGTTCTTAAGTTTGAAATGCAACACTGAGTTCTAAGTTATTATTTTAAAACTGTGAGTGGTCAAATCTTCTCCAGAAGCTTGTTTTAAATACTAGTGCTCGTGGTTACATCTCTTTGGAACGGATTAAAATCAAGAGCTTCAGAGCTTTGTTGTCTTGGCAGTGTAAGTATGTTGCAGAGTATTGGAAGGCATCGAGATACATCATTTGCTTGGTGACAGTGCTCGAGCCTTTAAAAAAGTCATCAGGTGAACGTTTAACTGAAGAGTGAGATACCTGGATTTGTTCAGTGTCTGTATGAAGTACCCTATAGAATTTTCTAATGGCCTTTGTAATTTTTGAAAGGTCCATCGGGTGTTGTGAAGAAGCCTTTGCCTGAGATACGCAGATGGTGTTATTCCAGAGCTCGCACTGGACTTGTTTTCAAGTGACCCTTCTGTCACAGTAGAGGAAGTTCTTTTGGAGCTCTAAAACTTTTTTGTCTTTTAAGAGTCAGGCACTAGAGCATTTAAACTTGAATATTCTTATCCTGCTGCTTTTTAGATCATATTTGTCTCTACTTCTTAACCTTGAAGCAGATCTTTCATGGAGAGATGCAGCCATCCTTGTTAACACTGCTAACAAAGGTGTTTACAAATTTGCAACCGTGTAGTCATGGCTTACCTGAAAGTTCTAAATTTTTAAGCATGTCTTAAAAGACAGGGGCTAGGCAGAGGCGTGGCAGAAGCAACCCAGAAGTGCACTGTTGAGTAATAAGAAATGTCACTATTTCTTGTTGTCACCCTTGATGCATTAAGGGACGTACTGATGAAGAACACTTTGGCACTTGCTGTTATCCAAGTATCATGAGTTGGTTTTTCAGTAAGGTGTGAAAACAAGGAACTGACATTTTAATGGGAAGGAGTGCTGTAATCAGGCTCTTAAAACTCCCTGGTGTTGGACCAGGCACAGGCAAATTCGGTATCAGCTGGTGATGGAGTAGGCATGCAGTAACCTGTCGCTAATTTGCTTTTTGGTGCTTGGCATTAGGCTTCTGAAAAGTTCAGATGTGTGGTGGTGAGGGCATGTGAAATTATTGAAAGTCCATATTTCTGGTGCATTAGTTCTGCTTCGAGGAGTTGAAATGGAGAAACAGTGGAGGACATGGATCAAATACATTCATATGCAAATTGTCTTAAAGTCTCTATCGATATTCTTGATGACTGACTTTTTATTGAAGTTAATGCTTCAGAACATAATATGAACATTTAATATGAAATGCTAGAATTTCTTGAGAAGATGCCAGATTAATAAGGTGTAGACCAGTAATAAAAATAATTTATCAACGAAACTGCTTGAAGCGTACTAAAGAGTGGAACTTGTATGGAAAGAGTTACTTCCTGTCTGAGACAGCAGTGACTACTGTAGTAGTCTAAAGGCTCTGTAGTCTAAAGTATCTGAGTTTTCTGAATTTTGTGCTCTTAATGCTTCTGCTTTTAAGTGTCATGGGTCAGACTTTATGATTTGCTCAAAAGTAGGAGCAGAGCTCTAGGGTTTGAGTACAGCTAGATTCTGGTTAACATAATTGCTAGATGTAATGATTTATTCTGTGGCTTCTGTGTTTACTTACAGCTAATCTTGCCTATCAAGAAAGCTATACTTCAGTGATTTTAACTGGATTTTTGAGATATATTTAATATTTCTGTTAATTTTAAAAAATTCATATTAAAAAGCTGTCTGCTTGTGGTTGTTATGGGCTGAATTTATTGATGTAAGGAAAACCTTGAAGAAAAGTTATTGAAACTTGAGGTCTGTTTGGAGGTAGAAAAGGAAGAATGTTTATTCACACACATGCATGGAGTTTAAATTTTTCTCTTTAAAAAAAAAAGACCTAAAATATGCTTATGGGAAACAAATCCTAAGTCATTCTTCTAAAAGAAAAACTGGTTAGTTCAGTTGTTCACTTCATTCACTTGCATAGTTAAAAGGCAGTGTTCCAAAGTGTGCTAAAATAGCCAAGGATAATATTTATAGTGCTGTGCTTCAGTAGGACAAACTCCTGCAGGAAATGAATTTGCAGAGTTCCCACAGGTTGAGCAGGAGGTGTTTTTGTTTTTTTCATAGTTTTCTTTTGACTTGGCCCACCAACAGTACCTGTTAAGTAATAATGATTTTTCTTCCCCAGCTTTAAACTTGAAAGCAAAATATTTGTGTTGCTCCCATGCTAACTGTGAGTTGTTATTAGTCAAGAAACTTTCGTTAATAAAATGTTGAGTCACTTCTGTGCAAGCACCAACTAATGCTTTAATATTTTTTATAGGGGGCAGAAGCCATGGTTCTGGAAAGTGTTATGTTTGCCATTCTTGCAGAGAGAGCTCTTGGCCCAAAGCTGTATGGAATCTTTCCACAAGGACGACTGGAGGAATTCATTCCCGTAAGACCTGTTCATGATTATTAGTGGGTTGCTGGTAGCTGTTTTAATTGATCATGACAAGGAGGTCTGTAGGCTGCCCAGAAAAGCAGGGGTGTGGGAATGGAATACTTGGCAGCCTGTGGTAATTGTGAGCTGTAATTTGATAGAGTCACAGTGAGTGTTGGAGAGCACCCTTGCCAGGCAGAGAGATCTAAAAACTCTTCAGCTGTAGCAGAGACTAATACATGAAGATAAAGAGCCTGTCAGGTACCAAACAGCACTGGAAGCTGTGGAGTAACACTTCCCTTAAACAGCAACCAGGGCAGATGCTTTTGATGGTCTTAAATATTTAGACCCAATATCTGCTTTGAAGATGCCCTGGTGTGAGATGTGGTGTTCCCCAGGCCTTGGTCTAGAAGAGAATTGACTGAGTTAACAGTAAGCTAGGCTGGCTAACCCAGCTTTTCCAAACACAGCAGTTTAGTGAGTTCATTTGGGATGAAAAAGTGTATTTCTTGAGTACCATGCTAGTATTTTATACTATTCCATGTCGAGACTAATGCTACTGTTCGTAATTAATTGCACTTTTGTAATTAATCAATTAACTACACTTAAGAATGTTATATTTTATTACAGAGCAGGAAACTAAGTACTGAAGAACTAAGCTTGCCTGACATATCCGCTGAAATAGCTGAGAAGATGGCTAGGTTTCATGGCATGAAAATGCCATTTAATAAAGAACCTAAGTGGCTTTTTGGAACAATGGAAAAGTAAGTTATGCAATACTTTAAAGTATGGAAAAAAAATGACATTGAAATTTTGATAAGCAGATCATTCTTCCTGAATGCCTGAGAGCACAAGTTGTCACTGTACCCAGAAACTGTTTCATAGTTACTTGAGGAACTTAAATTGCCTTGAATAGTAACATTTTCTTTAGTAACTCTTTTCTTTTTAAACTTTCTTGATTTTTTTTTTTAAGATTTAAAGATTTTTAAGATTTTTTACAGTTTAAGATTTAAACTGTATCTTAGAATGAGAAGACTAATATCCTTACTGTCACAAATGCTGTACTATTGTCTGTTTTTAACAGATATCTAAATCAAGTGTTGAGGATTAGGTTTACCAGAGAATCCAAAACTAGAAAACTGAACAAACTCCTCAGTTACAATCTCCCCCAGGAAATGAAAAATCTAAGGTAGGCTTATTTTATCTACCACTGTCTTCCAAGTTTCAGTATGAACTTGTATCCTTTTCAAACACATTATACAGTATAATACCCTATATTCATGTTACTTTTACAAGTTGAGGATTGTTTTTGGTTCTGTAACCAACCTGGGTCCCTAATTAACTACAGATGAGTATGATCAATTGCTGATCTGATTTGCTGATTTCTCTGTCCTGATCTTGGGTTCCTAATTGAGAAAAATAGTCTTGATAGAAATGCATAGTGCTTCAAATTCTTAAAACAAAATCCATTCTTTACTTGGAATTGCAGCTGAACTTAGTGATTTGTTACTTACAAGATGTTATATTGCTGTTTTCTAGAGCTATGCTTGAAGCTACTTCATCACCAGTTGTATTTTGCCACAATGACTGTCAAGAAGGTAAGCTGCTAATATTTCATGAGCTTGTTCAGCGATGCAGCATGAACCCTCCTCTGGTCACTTGTTTGGTTTTTGAGCAGTAGTCACCTTATTGAGGTGCTGACCTGAAACAGCAGCCTGTGTGCTCGCAGTGTGCAACAGTTGCAAAGCAAAGTGCACTGGCTTCAGCAACCCTTCTGTGTAATTAAGAGAACATCTAGTATCATAACTGGTGCCTGTGCTCTGTTAGTACAGGTCAGTTGAGCCTTGGGTGTTTCCTGTGAAGACCAAACCTTTCTTGGCTGTCTGCAATATACATGATGAGGGTAGGGTAGACTTGAATCCTTCTAAAAGAAAGGTACTGAAAAAGTACAGTGCAAATGGAGACTAGGGTGGTTTGCCTCAGTGGTTCTCAGCTTGTGCTGGTAAGAAACGTTAGGAAAACCTTATGCACCTTTTTTTAGTGCTTGTGCTCTGGGAATCATGAAGGAAATAACTTGTCTGGGCCGGTTCTCTAAAGAGTTGAAAAGGAGGCAGGGCCGAAGGTGTTGGCTATGCTGTGTTTGTGCTTCCTGTCACCTGCACAGTGAGTAAACTGGGCTGAGTTGGAGGGATGCTGTACTAGGACCATATGCAGGGCTGTTTTGTTCTTGGGATTCCCAGTCTTGTTAGCTAAGGCTGAGGAATTGGCCTGGAAGAGAATTGCCCTGGAGGTTGGGCACGTAAGGGTAGGGCAGGGGAAGGGGAAAAAGCCACCGATCTGAGGTCTGAAGAGCCAGCTCAGTAGTGGTGGAGGTTGAGGGCTTGTTGCTGGTGTGGCATGGTGCAGTACTGGAGGAGTCAGAGCATGACAGGGCTGGGGCAAGATTTGAAACCTCAGTTTCCCAGGTGGAGGTGAGGAGGTTGAAGTTCTGTGTCTGCTCTGTTGATGCCTTTCTTGCAGGGCCTACAAGAAAGCTGGGGAAGGACTTTTCATAAGGGTAGTTAATGACAAAACAAGGGGAAATGGGTTTAAGCTGAAAGAGGGGAGGTTTAGATGAAATATTAGGAAGAAGTTCTTCACTGTGAGGGTGGTGAGACAGTGTCCCAGGTTGGCCAGAGAAGCTGTGGCTGCTCCTCCCTAGAAGTGTTGAAGGCCAGGCTGGATGAGGCTTTGAGCAACCTGGTCTAGTGGAAGGTGTCCCTGCTGCTGGCAGGGGGGGTGGGGCTGGGTGAGCTTTCAGGTCCCTTCCAACCCAGACCAGTCTGGGATTCTATGCAAGGGTATGGTGTAGAGAACAGGTATACCTGTGGAGAGAGGACAAACTATTGCAGAAATGGAAATGACTCTGAATTTATTTACTAGTTGGCACCTGACAGAGGCAGACTTGGTGTCTTTCAGATGAATTATAGAGACAGAGTTAATTGAAAGACAGATAAAGCAATCTCCCTGTTTATAAGGAAAAGGCTGAGCACTTCTATAGGTACTGGTTGTGCCATGTGTTAGAATAGCAAAGTGATCAGCCTGAGGCTTTCAGGCTGCAGAAAAGCAATTCCTGTCCCAAGTGTTGGGTGATCAATGACAGTGCTGTGCAGATATGGGAGATGCTGAATAATTTAGATCTGAAGCTGTGGAAAGAAATAGTTCAGCAAGGGCTGCTAAGGCTGACAGTGTCTCCTGAGTTAGCTGCAAGCTAAACACTGGAGAATCAGGACCCTTAGGAGAGCAAATCTACCCCTGCCTGTACAGGAGCGCTTTCTTGCTTTCAGCTTTACAGGGCTTATAGTACATATCTCAACTTTCAGTGAGCTGATACACAGCTTGGCTTTTCCTGTCATTCTTGTGCACAGATGTAAGGGATAAATGGGGTTATCTGAACATTTTTTTCTTAGAGTATTGTTTTTCTGTAATTTACCTGGGACTTTATTGAATATGTTGTATTATCTTAAAATTTTCAGGCAATGTCTTGCTTCTGGAAGGCAGAGAGAATTCAGAAAACCAAAAGCTGATGCTCATTGACTTTGAATACAGCAGCTATAATTACCGGTAAATCACTTTATTTTCTAT